TTTTTTTTTTTTTTTTTTTTTTGAGACGGAGTTTCGCTCCTGTTACCCAGGCTGGAGTGCAATGGCGCGATCTCAGCTCACCACAACCTCCGCCTCCTGGGTTCAGGCAATTCTCCTGCCTCAGCCTCCTGAGTAGCTGGGATTACAGGCATGTGCCACCATGCCCAGCTAATTTTTGTATTTTTAGTAGAGACGGGGTTTCACCATGTTGACCAGGATGGTCTCGATCTCTTGACCTCGTGATCCACCCGCCTCGGCCTCCCAAAGTGCTGGGATTACAGGCTTGAGCCACCGCGCCCGGCCTATTTATTTATTTTCTGAGACAGAGTTACACCCTGTTGTCCAGGCTGGAGTGCAGTGGCGCCATCTCAGCTCACTGCAAGCTCCACTTTCCGGGTTCAGGCGATTATCTCCTGCTTCAGCCTCCTGAGTAGCTGGGATTCCAGGTACGCACCACCACACCTGGCTGATTTCTGCATGTTTACTAGAGGCAGGCTATCACCATGTTAGCCAGGCTGGTCTCTAACTCTTGACCTCGGGCGATCCTCCCACCTCTGCCTCCCCAAGTGCTGGGATTACAGGCGTGAGCCACCACACCGGCCACCCGGCCTAATTTTAGAAAAGAATAAAGAGAGGCTAAGCAGGAGAAGGGGTTGCCCAGCCCAGGCTCCAAGGCCGGGAGGGGCAGGTGGAAGGAGGCCTGCTGGGGTGGAGGTGGGGGTGGGGTGCCACCTCCAGGCCTCAGTTTCCCTGTCCGTTTCTCCTCGCTTCCCCGGGCTCGATTCCTGGCTCAGTCGGCAGCCCGGGTCGGGAGACAGGGGTTGTGGTTGAATTTTCCACCTCTCACCTAGGTGTCTCTCCTCGCGGGGGCTAGGTTTGTGGGTGTAGGGATCACGGCCCCGCCCTGCCTCACACCTCAGTCTCCCCGTTCCTCCCTCCAGGGGCTGGATCCCCGCCCCCCCGGCCTCGGTTTCCCCGTTCGTCCCCCCAGGTCTGGATCCCCGCCCCGCTGCCTCGGTTTCCCCGTTCGTCCCCCTGGGTCTGGATCCCCGCCCCCCCCCGGCCTGGGTTTCCCCGTTCGTCCCCCCGGGTCTGGATCCCCGCCCCGCCTGCCTCGGTTTCCCCATTGTCCCTCCAGGGTCTGGATCCCCGCCCCGCTG